CGCACGTCTTCAAGCATCTTCCCTTTCCCATTTCTTCCATGGAAGCCCTTGTTCGGAACGTCATCACGACAGCTGGTCAGTGGACAATTCCTGGGCTCCCATCCATCCTCAACCCGGACCCAGCATTATCTTCCTATGTGGAGGTTCAGTGGTGAGCCTCTCTCTCTCAAAATCCTTCAGGGGCGCCCAAGGGGCTCAGTCGATTAAGCATCTGACCTCAGCTCAGGTCGTGATCTCATGGTTCATGAGTTCAAGCCCCACATTACGCTCTGTGCTGACAGTGTGAAGCCTGCTTGGGATTCTCTCTCTCTCCCTCTCTCTCCCTCTCCCTCTCTCTCTCTGCGCCCCCCCCCACTTGCACACACATGCTGTCTCTCAAAATAAATACATAAACTTTTTTTTAAAAAAGGGGGGGTGCCTAGGTCACTCTGTTGGGTCAGCGTCTGACTTCAGCTCCGGTCACGATCTCGCGGTCCGTGAGTTCGAGCCCCGCGTCGGGCTCTGTGCTGACAGCTCAGAGCCTGGAGCCTTCTTCAGATTCTGTGTCTCCCTCTCTCTCTGCCCCTTCTCCACTCGTGCTCTGCCTCCCCCAAATGAATGAATGTTTCAAAAATTCTTTCAAAGCTTCCCTGCCTCCTGTAGAATCCAAAGCCCATCATGCCCACTGGTCTCACGTTCTCCAGGCTCCACGTTCTGGGTCCTGCTAGCCTTTCTGGCTTCATCCTTAGGTAAATCCCTCAGTTTTGTGTTCGTGTACTCGCCCTTCCTCAGAGAAGTCTCTGGGCTGCTCTTCCTCTCCTGGGGCCTCTTCCCACCCTCCCGTTCACTGTGGAGTCTGCCTGAGCCTTCCGGATCAGTCTCTACGAGCGCTCGTGGTGTCCCAAGTGGATCCTGCCACTCCTGCAGTGTTTTGACTACACCTGCTCTCTGACTGCGATTTACCTGTCGCCCTGCCCCTGCTGGCCTCCCTAGGGGCGACTGTGGGCACCTTGACCGCTGAGTCTGCGCTGTGTTCCCCACCCCCAGGGCTGCGGACCGTGCTGCCAACTTCCTCTTCAGCGTGCACTCAGCCTGTAGCTACAGTTCATACTTTGACAAATACTCTGCTTATCTCCTTCGCAGCCTTTGCAATGGATCTTTCTCCACAGCGACATGGATCTTCTCCTCTGCCTGATGGTTACCCCAGAGATGCCTCAGACTTGAGCTGAAGTTGGAGCCCTGTTCTAGACGGACACTCTTAGCATCTTCAGCAAAGGGCTACAAAAGTGACCTGTTTTGGCCACAGCCAAAGTTATTCCCTAGGACACCACAACGACCTTTTATGTCACAAGTCCCTCTCACCCTCTGAGGTCCCCCACAGGGGACTGGGATGGGGCAGGGCCACTAGAACGTGTCCCGTTAGACACAGACGCCCATGAGTGTGGCCAGCAATGAGCCCCAATCCGCCTCTAGCCCCGGGAAGACAAGGGGGAGAGGAGGGGCTCGTAATCAAAGCCTCACTCAAGATTTGTCTGAAGGTATATTCCAACGTATGTTAAATCTGAAAATCAAGACGGATTAATTTGCTTTTTAACCTTAGGTATCAGCCACTTCCCTCACCCACCCCACCATGATTCAGACTAGCACCTTCCAAACTCGTGGCACCTAAGGGTGGCCGTTCTCTCCAAAGCTCTAGAGCAGAAGTAGGAAAGGTGGAGGCAGTGCTCGGTCGTCATCGCTCTGTTTGGGGATCTCTGTCTGTCCAGACGTCCACCGACCTACAGATGGTATGGTTTCCATGCCATCGTTATCTTTCAGAGTCCATTCTCTGTGTCTTGATGCCTGAAGGTCAGAGGTCCAGACTGGATGACGCCTCTCTGGCACCAGGAAGCGTGCCACTTAATCACCATCTAGCCCTCCTAACAACGCCAAACGTTGGTGCGTCGGCTTCCTAGGGCTGCGCCGACAAATGACCACAAACCAAGTGGGTTAAAACAATGGGCGTTCATTTTCTCACGGTTCTGGATGCTAGACGTTCAGAGTCAAGGTGTGGGTAGGGCTGGTTCCTTCGTGAGGCCGCGAGGGAGGGCCTTACAGACTTACAGACACGTGGCCCCATGTCTCCTTCACGTGACGTTCTCCCTGTGATTTCTGTGTGTCTATCTCTGTCCAAACTTCCCTTTTCTCGTAAGAACACCCATCATTAGATTAGGGTCCCCTAACCCAGGAGGACCTCATCTTAACTACATCGTCAAACACCCATTTCCAAAGAAGGTCACATCATAGGTACCTGGACTGAGAACTTCAACGTGGCTTTTTGCGGGGGGGGGGGGGGGGGGGGGGGTGGGTATTGCTCTAATCCTCAGACTAAACTGAGATACAGAGTAACTTCCACAAAGGTACACAGAAAATAGGTGGTATAACTCAGTATTTAATCTGTCTAGATCTAATTATTACCACTTAATAATTGCTTGTACCAGGCCCTCTGCTGGGTGCTTCATTTTCATTTCTAATCCTCCTAGCAACTGTATAGATTTATCATCCCCCATTTTACAAACAGAGGCACAGATCGTCAAAGTATCTCTCCCAGAGCCACATGAATACAAAGCGGCAGACCTGGGAATCAATCCAATAATTCTCACCCAAGCCAACCCACTAGTACATCTTTGAGATGACTCATCCCTCCTCGCTCCACATCCTCTGGTATAACTCCCTGCCTGCAGCTGAGAGCCACGACTGTAAGTGACACGTTACTGGAATTCTTCGAGCAACGGCGTAAAGGCCAAAGTAATCACTGGGATCCCAGCACTGCCACTCGAGGCGTCACGGCGGATGATAGCCTGATGAGAAAGACCAAGTCCTCATCTTCCTTCTGGCGGCCAGGGAAGAGTTACGTGGAAAAACTAGGACAATGAGTAAATCCTATTAAAAAGCAACATATTTCACAGTGGATCGCTTTCCTGCAGACTGCTGCCCATGCGTGGAGGTGGCTTCTTTGTTCTAACAGGCACCTTGCGGGGAAAACCCGTCTAATACCACGTGGGGAGGAACCACATCTCAGCCAAGCCCATAGAATGGTTATTTATATTGCCTCGATATGCCTCAAAATAAAAAGTCAAAAGCATCACTTCCTGGCAGCTGCCGTGCCCTCTTCCTCAACATCAAAGATGTGTCTCCCACACATACACATACCAGCGCCTTACAAACACAGCAGCCCGAACACAGAGCCCTTCAAGCAATGCATAAGCCACAGAAACTTCCTCAAATCAACGCAAGAGACTGAGAAGGCACTCAGCCCCGTGCCACGAACTGAGGCTTGGACCGCACTTACCAGTTAGAAATTGGTTTCTTTCGCTTGTATCGTCTCCAAAAGATACCACATAGGTAGGGGCTCGGATCACGGGCTCTGGAGGCAGGCAGACTCGAGAGCCAACTCCAGCTGTCCCGTGCACTACCTGTGGGTTGTTCCTCTTCGCTCAGCCTGTTTTCTTACTTGTGAAATGAAGATACTGACATGAATCTCACAGACAGGTGATATTAACATACCATGGGGATCCTTGACTCCCAAGAGGCAATATAAACTATGGGCAGGAATAAAACACTGCTTTAAATTTGACCTTGTTTATCTCATCCCATGGACCTAAGTTTCTATTTAAAAGAGACCTAGCTTAAATAATGAGTGGGCGCACAGCTCTGGATGCATCTAGGATGGGAAAACAAGTGACAGAAGGAGAAGATACCAGACTGGTGGGAGACACTCATTTCTTTCATGTTCTTGATATTATTCCACTGAATACCACACACACGCACGCACGCACGCATGCACGCACGCACGCACTGGATGGGATTAGGGGAGGACCAGTACCACTCTACTGCCTGCCTGTACTGTTTGAGAAGTTCATCTGAATACGTTTAGTTAGGGCACATGAACCCCAGGGGATAGGACACTTGTGCTCCAGGCTGAAGATGTTCCAGGAAGGAATCCAGGCCCAGGGTCCTTCTCAAGTAGGAGAAAGAATGTAGCAGGTAAAACAAAAAAAACAGACTCCCATGTCTCAAGAAAGCAGAGTGATTCCTTTAACCTCTTAAGGTGATGTCTGTGATTTTAATGTTATTACTAGTATTTTACTAGTAATTACTAGTGTTTTAATGTTATTACAGTATTTTCTGCAAACACTTTATGTTCAGTGTTATATGTATGAGACTACATCCTAAAGGGCAGGTGTGAAGTTCTACTCATCCATGCCTCCCGTGACTTGGTGTGGGGAAGAGAGATAACAAAGGTGTGCACTTCTGAGAGCGCCACGTAGAGGTGACTGCATCAAGCAGGGCCTCCGGGCATGGCTACGCAACTCAAGCTCATCTCGAAATAGATTTAACTGCAGAAACAACGTACACTCTCCATACGAACCCTGGAGCGAGCCAAGTCTGTAACACTGATACAATTACAAAATGGCATTTAAGGCGGAAAAAACTTCCGAGCAAATAGATTGTGGGTCGCACTTTTGTTCATTGGAAGTACCAATCCATTTCACAATACAAGCTTTACAGGAAGAGGAACGGAGTCATCTGTCTTGTCAGTGATAATTCATAAAAAAAAAATAGGATCCTATATTAGGTATACACAACCACTCAAATACAATTTAGGAAGTATCCAAAAAACTCTTTAAAAAAAACAGTAGCAGCAAAAACATTGAACGTGTGTAAACAAAACCACCAGTAACAAGTTAATGCTTAATAACAAACAATCTGCATTCTTTTGAAAACATTAAATATATGTAATATCGGCCCTTCTTAATATACAATACTCAAAATCTAAAACAACATTATCAATAATAGACACAAATTGGTGTTACGAGGCATATTGAAGAGTCTTTTTCACAATGCTTGGGGCATCATGATGCCGCAGAGGGTAAACTTTCCAAAAGTCTTCTCCTAGCTGTGATCCTCGCACACCGGGGGCACCCAGACGACTGGAAACACCGCTTGTGAAAGCAGGCTCTACACCCTATGAGCAGAGGGGACAGCTATCAGCAAAGGGGCTGTCTTGCTCACTCACATATGTACAGATGGTCATCCCCATCCTGGGGAGAGAGGTGGTCTGAACCCAGAAACCAGAGTCATCCGACAAGAAATGAGGCAGGTTGAAACCAAGCGATTATGAAGTCCCCACTAAGTCATGGACCTGAGGCTGAGAGAGCCTGATGCTATAGTGCCCCCAGATCTGCCCAAGGACTGTTCCCTCAGCTGCTGACAGCTGAGGAGGTGGCCCTCACTGGAAATGGCCCTAACTGGAGAGAGCTGCCTCCCTCAAGGTCATCTCTGCATGCGGACACTGGCTCGCATCCGGTGGGTGACTGGTCAACCCTGGGTTTAAAGGCTTGGCTGGTCCCTGACCGACTATGTGACAACAGTGAAGGCCACCCTGCTCCAGAGTGCCCTGAGATGTGCTAAGCCTTCAAGGCCACCATATTCAGCTCAACTTGTCCCTCTGCCAAGCCCTGTGGACTTCACACTCCCACGGGTGCTGAGCCTGACACGCCCCAGTGAGCCTTCTGCTTGCAAACCTGTGGCTGGGAGGAGTTTGTCTGCTGGGGAGCCTCTCCTGCGATACAGCCTAATGATTCTGCCTAACAGGTTAGTGGAGACAGCGCTGGAGGGGGTCAAAGAGGAGGAGCAGCTCTTACCAAGGGTAAAGGCAGAATGCATTGCCAGATTGCTCCCATGAAACGGGTTAGAGATCACGGGACTTCCTGGAGGGTTAACACATACAGTAAAACGGAGGTCTAAAAATCTCTTCTGTGAAGAGCCAGATAGCAAATGCATTAGGTCTTTTGGGCTACACGGTCTCCACAACAACTCCACAATCTGCCAGTGCAGCGCAAAAGAAGCCAGAGACAGCACCTCAGCCTTAGGCATGATTGTGATCCAATCCCATAACTGGGGCAGTGGCTGTGGAGTGCTTGCCCTGGTGTCAAAGAAGTGGGGCACGGGCCAAAGGGGAACCACTCTTCTCTCCAAACGCTGTACAGGAAGGCCTCACCCTTCATCCCTGCCCCACCCACACACTCCTCCCCATGCACCCCAAATTCCATTAGCTCCCATCCAACATACAAGCACACACCAGCACCATATACTTCAAACAACACTGGGCTTAAATTATTAACTTGCCCTTAAGTTAATTTTGTTTCGGTTATTAAGCTGTTAGTAAGCTTACGTTATGAAGCTATGAAGATACCTGAACATCTTCTACACGTTTCGGTCTGAAATGGGAAGATGACCGCGGCACTCTGGCAAAATTCACAAATGAAGCCCTTCCCTTGACACAGCTGTAAGAGAAGGAGCCGGAGAGTTACCATCCTCATTGGCAACGTTTCTTTTGATGGAGAAGCCACGTTCCTACTTTTGCAGAATTTTATACTCAGTTTTTAAGTGTCTGTAATTGCAGCCTCTAGAAGGAACAGGAGGCTATCTCACGCTATAGTAAATGGATTCGAACGGAACATGCGCACGTGTGTGTTGCACGGAGAAATGTCGCATCGAGGTAGTTTGAGGCACCGGGAAAGGTCATGATTTTACATGTGTGCTTTTAAATGATCTGCTTTTGTTTCTGAGGGCTGCACTACAATTCTTGAATTCATGTGGACACAGAGCTCTTGTGGCACTGGATCCCGAGTCCACATGGCTGTACTTGGCACGTCAGGGCAGACGGGAGTCAAGGAAGGCCCCAAGCAGGGCTTGGTTCCCTAGGAAGGCACTTGGCTCAGGACTGCATCCCAGCCCTGCCACCTGCCAGGGCTGTCACCGAATCGCTCTGAACCTCATCTCTCATCTGGGAAGGGCGCTCCCAGCACTTTCCACAGGATTTGTGGGGTTAAAGGGGGTGACGTGTAGAACACCTGCCACAGGCCCTGATGTAGAAGGGACAGCTTGGGGACACACCAGTTCCAGGTGAACCCTTACCTCACAGCCGGCCACATGTGCGAGGGAAGCTTTTAGAATGTCCTTGAGCAAGGGCACCAGCAGCTTTTTCTTGACCCTGACCAGATCATCCAGGGAGAACAGGTGGAGCTCATTAGTCAAGTGCCTCGGCACCTGCTCAAACTCCTTTAACGTGCTGCCAGAGAGGAAACAAAGAGTAATTCAGACACCCACCCACACAGCGGTGGGGACACAAGGGGGGGTGGGCAGGCAGTTGTTTCTGGCATTCACACTTCATTTTTTTGAGCTCAATTAAAAAAAAAAAAAAAAGCCCAAGAGCATGTTAGCCTTACTCACCACCTTACATTTTGCAAGTCTGTTTGGAAGCCAGGAACTTAAAATTCTACAAAAGCGCATTTCAGAAAGCTGAACCAGCAGAAAAACACGCCTCTCGCAGCCTGCCCATGGGCAGGGTTTCGCTGAGCGAAAGACAACTGCAAATCTATTTTTCGAGATGTAAAAACGTGTACTGAGATAACAAGCGCTACCTTGTTCATTTCAGCTCAATTTCAACCATCAGCAGGTGGACCCTTGTCCCAGCCAGCAGGAGAATCACCGCTCACAGGCAGGTGTGGGACTCCCCTCATCCACGAGTCCAGCACACAGCCTAAGGCTCGAGCATCCAACTGTGAGCCGATCACAGCCTCCTGTGTGTCCCGAGGACACTCAGAACTGAACGTAACTTTCTCCGACTCCTACTCATCTTCTTCTGAATTTCCTAAATCAGTCGGTGGCATCACCATGCACTGCATTCCCAGGCCAGCCGCTGCCTACCCTGGATTTGACATTCCAGTAACGCCAGGCTGTGTTGAATTCTCCATGCAGCCGGGGGTGCTGGCCCCCACGGCTTCCTCTTCCCGGGGGATCCCTGACCTTTCTTCTTCAGTCCCACTCGCTCTTCAAGCTCAGGCTTAGGAAGCCTCGTGGTCCTCTTCCCCACCCCACCCCTTCAGACACCTTTTCTGCATCCTCAGGGCACCCTGCGTATGTGTTTAACACACAAGATCTGTTTGTGCTTTTTCCCTGGTCTTAGCATGAGACCTTATCTGAAGCAGAGAAAAGAAAATTTCAAGAAATTTTTGTAGACAGTAATAATTGTGAGTATTGTTACATATAACAATATGTTACAGACAAGAAAACTGAGAGCCTGAGAAGTAATTAACCTGTCACACCAAGGCCATGAGGTAGGTACAGGTTAGGCCCAATGACTACCGGAGACATGCTCCTCCCCAAGAAATTTAATTCAAAAGCAATACGTTATCATTAAATAAAGATCAGAAACTGAACGAAGCTTTAAAACAAAACAGTATTTTAGAGACTATGATCCCACCTACTATAACAAACCATCTTAACCCCTTGAACAACAACCTCTTTTTCCACTTAAAAAATTCTATCTCTGTCAATGAATTCATGCCCATACCTCTATGGCCATGGCTTCCAGAAATTCCAGCTCTAGAAATTAATCCTAAGGACATATTTATGGACGTGCACAGAGATTCAGCTAAAACCTAGTTTTTTAATAACACAAGACATTAAGAACCTATCTAAATATCCATTAGGTATTAAAATCTACTGGGTTTAATATCTATAAGGATATTAAAAATCTATTTTAACATTAAGATATTAAAATCTATTAGATAAAAAAATCTATGAATAAGAGAATAATACTTAAATCAACACCACGTCCTAGTATAGAATACTATACAACCAATGACGGTTCGACATGCTCCTCTATTGGGGGTTTTTAAATTTTTTTTTTTTTCAACGTTTATTTATTTTTGGGACAGAGAGAGACAGAGCGTGAACGGGGGAGGGGCAGAGAGAGAGGGAGACACAGAATCGGAAACAGGCTCCAGGCTCTGAGCCATCAGCCCAGAGCCCGACGCGGGGCTCGAACTCACGGACCGCGAGATCGTGACCTGGCTGAAGTCGGACGCTTAACCAACTGCGCCACCCAGGCGCCCCTCTATTGGGGGTTTTTAAAAGGCCGTTGATAACACCCATGCTCATAGCAACACTATTCACATCAGCTAGAAGGTGGATGGAAGCAACGTTTCTGGTGATGAATGCGTAAACAAAATGTGGCAGATACATACAATGGAATCTTTTTCAGCCCTTAAAAAGGAAGGGAGTCCTGACACATGCTGCAACACAGGTGCTACTTCAAGGGTAGCACTTCTGCTGGGTGCGATAAGCCAGTCACACAAGGAAAGATACTGTATGACTGTACTATTATGAGGTACCCGTGGTTATCAACTTCATAGAGACAGTAAGTAGGATGGTGGTTGCCAGGCGCTACAGGGGCGGGGTGGGGGGGGGGAAGAGAGAGTTACTGCTCAATGGATGTAGAATTTCAGTTTCGCAAGATACAAAAAGTTCTGTGCACGGATGGCGGTGACGGTTGCAGAAGAATGTGCATGTACTTAAGGGCACGGAATTGTGCCCTTAAAATGGTTAAGATGGTGTATTTGGTTACGTGTATTTTATCACAATTGAAAACTAGAGTTATTTCATCCCTGTACTGGCCAATTCTTCTCACACGTTACATTCACTGCTAGTGAGCCAGAAGGTTTAGTGACTTTAACAATACGGTCTGCATCACCAAGGGGAGACCGAAGTAGGTGCTGTGCTAAGGGGCCCTGTGGACTGGGGGAGCTGGGACCAGTTGGCACACAGGGGACTGGCAGGTATGTGGGGGCGCCCAGCCCTCCTGGACCCAGGCCTGGCCTGTCCCAGCCAAACACTAGTACCTTTCAGCAAACCTGCAGGTCCTCAACAGCTTCTTGATATGAAAAAGTTGCTCCCGGGTTTCCTAAAGGAAGACACCAAACGGGGGGGAAAGGTTAATGTGATAAATGACACAGAAAATGTAGAAGTTAAGTCTAACTGTTATTTCTCACTTTGAAAGGCTACAACTCTATAAAATAAGTCTCTGAAGTAAACAGTCAATATAGCAGGGGTTCGTGGCTGAGTCCAGAGATCCGCAGAGGGCCCAGGATGGACCCAACTATTGTGGGGCCTGAAGCTTACATAACCGTTGGGGGCCCTCTTTGAGGAGAACACAAAACTATGCACAAAAGATGGAGATCCTGCCATTTGTGACAACATGGGTGAACCTGGGGGGGATTAGGCTAAGTGAAATAAGGCAGACACAGAAAGGAAAAAGCTGCCTGGGCCTCACTTCTATGCGGAATCTTAAAAGGTCAAATACACAGAAGCAGAGAGTTGTTGAACAGAAGCTACCGGGGCGGGGTGGGGGGTGGGGAGGTGGGGCAAATGGGAAGACATCGGTCAAAGGGAACGAAGTTGGGGTTCTGTCGGATGAGTAAGTCTAGAGATCTAATAGATGGTATGATGACTAGAGTTAATCTTAAGTGTATTGAATACTGGAAACTTCCTGAGAGAGTAAATTTCAGGTGCTCCCACCGTACACACTCACACACAAAAGGTGGCTGCAAGGAGATAGATAGGTTAATTAGCTTGAGCGGTAATTATTTCACTTGTATTTGTATATCAAATTATCATGCTGTATACCTGAAATATAAACAATTTTATTTTGAAAATAATAAACAAATTTTAAGAGCTACGTGTACGTGCAGAACTATGCATAAATATAAAATGTGGTACGGGGTCTTGGAAAAGGCCCTGAAGCTGACGCTCCATCCGCTGGTGGTAAACCCGCCCCTTGGAAGGTCTGTCTGGGTGCCCTGAGACGGTGGCATCTGCCATCGCAGGGCCCTCCGAGCCTCTGGCCCGGCCTCCCCCGCAGAGGCAGCCGCTCACCCTCACTCTGTCTAGTTCCTTGGCCTTGGCATACAGGCTGTGGCCAACGCTCAGCAAATTGAAAACCGGCTGGTGCCATAGGCCGTCCAGCAGCCGTTTGGAGAAATTGCTGACGTAGTACTTCCTGAAGTCCCACAAGGTGAGGATCCGGGCAGGGATGCAGGTCTCCGCGTAGGAGTGACAGCAGTCACAGAAGTACTTCCCCAGGTATTCGCAGTACCGCAGCCGCTTCACAAACTCTGCAGGGCACACGGGAGGGTGAGCACACGGGACGTGAGCGCAGCTCGCCTGGGCTGGCAACGTACCCTCCTCCACCCCTACTTCCCCTTCCCACCCCACGTTCAAGACTGCTGGGTTTGTGCCGCGAGCACCATACTCCACCTCACAGCGCCTGGGAAAGATCCGGTGGGGACTGAAGGCCGTGGGGACTGGAGGCCACGCATTACGGCCGCTCATGAGCTTTGCTTTGTGGAAACAGTTGTCAGAAAAACAGAAACCTCCCCGAACACTCCTGAATTTGGAAGATGGGCATTGTAAACTGCAATGGAGCCAAAAGAACATGGGATTCGGAGTGCGGAAATCTGGTGGGAGTCCAGACTCTGTCTCCCTCTGGCAGGCGGACTGAGGGCTGGCCGGAATCCTTTCAAGCTAGCTGTCCTGAGGCCATAAGAAGCCAACTCAGAACCAGATGCCAGGATATCTCACATAATGAAAAGTGCTTTCTAAATTGTAAAGCACAATATGTACACAGTTAGGGAGTGACACCCAAAAAAGCTTCCTGGATAAATCAGTGAGAAAAAAAAAAACACAAAAATGCACAAAGGATGGGAATAGGCGATACAGGGAAACACGGAATGCAAATAGCCAGTAACAACATTGAGAAACGACCTCGGTAACAAAGACATGTGTGTTAGCAGAGCGAACTGCTTGGTTTTGCATCAGACTGTCACAAATTTAGAGCATCCAGAGCAGTGAGGTGCCGGGGCGGGCACTCACAGGGCTGACAGGAGGCTACTGTTTAGGAGGAAAGTTCCATGATACACTTTAATTCTTCAACATGCGGCAGGAATCCTACTTCTGTGACACCAGACAGAAATGCTAACATGCACACGTGGAGACACAGAAAAGTGTTCACTACAGCACATTTATAGTGGAGGGGGTAGCAATCTAAATACACATTAAGAAGCAACTAGTTAAGGAAGTATGATGCACTCCACAGTGAAATGCCAGAGAGCCTACAAAATACATTTTAGCCCATGGGCAGTGAGCGCCCAGTTACAAATATGTATAATGTGATCTTGATTTTGTTTTGAAAAATACACAGGCACCGTCCAAGAGGATCCCCACCAAAAAGCCGATAGTGACTACTTCTGGGGGCGGTGGGGGAGAAGGGTTTTTGTTCTTCACATTTTTTGAATTTGGTAAAATGAACACACGTGGCTTTCAGAAATATAGCTAGCAAAATACACTGACAAGCAAAAAGCACAGAGACAAATGCAATACATACTTGGGTGCCTACCACCCAGTTAAAGAAGGCAACAATTCAGTTAAAGTCTCCTGTGCCTCCCTCCCTCGATATCGAGTCTAAGATGAGCAAGGCTGAAATGTACATGCGCCATTTAACTCATGGGTTTCTTTGTCATTTAAATACCGTAAGGCATCATAGACATATTAGATGATACATCTTGTGAAGATTAAGTGAAACTGTGGATGGAAAAGCAGCCACCACAGAACCTGGCACACTGCAGATTCTACATCCAGCTTCCTTAAATACCAGCTTCAAAAACAAACAAGGCCACTCATGTCTTCATGAAACGTTGCCTGAAGGATACTTTATACACCATGTGCTTTCCGCGAGTTAGGTACATGGTTATTCCTATTTGCTTCTGCACGTGTATGTCCAAAAAATAAAGAAAGAACGAAAAATAAATAAGGCCCGAGTGACGGCAGGAGCAAATGTTTATCGAACGCTTACTCCGTGTCTTACGCTGGTTAAATGTCTTACATACACTGTGTCGTTCTCTGCTCAAAACTTTAAGAGGCAGGGACTATTACTTTCCCTATTTCGCTGATGAGAGCACAGCCGGTGAAGTTAAGTCACATGCCAGAGACACACAAACAGTAAGCAGGCGAGTGGGATTCCCCCTCACATCTGGCCTGACGCTCTAGCTTTTGGCCATTATATCCCACTCTTCTCTGCTGCATTGGATGAGGGCAAGGGCGAAGAGCGAATAATGCCTTCGCGCCTGCCCAAATTATTCCTCCGACCCAGGTCACACCCAGTGTGATTCTTAATGATTCTTATTATTTACAATAGTTTATGTTCTACAAAGTTGCCTTGAATACCGAATTAGTGAGTACTGAAGGGAGTCCCGGAGTAAAATACAGGGCTAGATTCCTGTGAGCCTCTAGTAACAATATTTTTGCCAACTGATCAATATATAATCTTGTTTTTTGTGTGTTTTCTGATTAATGATACCTTATTTAATGTATTTTGTTAGGGCACCTGGGTGGCTCAGTCGACTAAGCGTCTGACTCCTGATTTCAGCTAAAGTCATGATCTCACGGTTCATGAAATCGAGCCCCCGCATCAGGCTCTGTGCTGACAGCGTGAAGCCTGCTTGGGATTCTCTCCCCCTCTCTCTTTGCCCCTTTCTCACTCCTGCGCACCTGTGCTCTCTGTCTCTCTTAAACTTAAAAAATATACATATTTTTTTTTATTTATATCGTTGAATTCAGGGCCAACAGCACTATAACTCATGCCTGAATGAAGCTTATCTGATGCATGTACATTTTCCATAAAGCAAATCACAACCTTCTTGGGCTTAGTAACACTACACAGCAGTTTAGCACTACACGTGGGGGGTGTTTTAAACAGCGAAATCACCGACAAAAAAAGGCAAAAGTGTAAAAAAAGAAATGGGCGGGGGTTGCTAAATAAACCACAAGAAGACCTTGTTTACAGTACGAGAGATAAAAAAGAAGGCAGAGCATCACCTTCTTCAGCTTCGGCTGCAAACGTGTGCTTCGGCGCAACTCAAATTTCGGGCGACTCAAAGTTTTGGTGTTTTGTGCATATCCGTGCTTGACTATGAAAACACCATGAGTCATGATTTTGTGGTCACAAATAAATTTCATCGAGTAGATGATTTTGCAAATATGGAATCACAAATACTCAGGTTCAACTATAAATACGTGTGTACAGACGTCCCTCTGGGGTTGACGAATTATCATTAAGACCTTAAGAGCTCATGTTTATGTCTGACTTCTCAAATTTGAAATCTGGAGAAGTCTTTTGCATTGTGTCTACTTCCTGCCCTGGATTAATATTTCTGATTTGGCAGATAATGAGTATTACTTCGCTTGTGATGGGGCCTTGATACATTTTATATAAAATGGGCAAAATGAGGTATACTCTGACCCTTCCACTCACCATTTCTGATCAAACTTAGCAAAATGGGAAGAGGAGGGGGGCAGAAGGAGACAGTACATGTTCCTTATGTAATTCATCTTCCCCTAACATCTACTTTCCCAACATTTCAATACCTAGTCGCTCACTCATCAAATTTCATTGAATATATACTAAGCACTACTCTATCCTTACAGAATCAAGTACGTCTACCTCTCTTGGTTTCTTCAGTCCGTTCATTCAAACAGAGCAAAACAACGTATCCTAAACCAGTGGTTCTGGGCCAGGAGTAATTTTTTTCTCCCTAAGAACATTGGGAGCTATCTGGGGACAGTTTCACGGAGCCACTGGCGACCTCTAGTGATGCTACTGGATGCCCTACAATGCACAGGACAGCCCTGGATGACAAAGTCAGTGGTCCTGAGGTTGAGAAATCCTGCTCTAAACCAGATCTGCTCTCAGCTGAGGAAAAGGCAAGGTCACAGAAAAATAAATAAGAAAGAAAAATTCCAGAATAGTGTTGTCCCACAGAATTTTCTGTGAGGATGGAAATGTTCTAAGCCCGTGCCCTCCAACAGACTAGTTACTAGCCCCATGACACTACTGAGCACTTGCAATGTAGCTAGCGTGCTTGAGGAACTGGATTTTTAACTTTATTCACTCATTTATAAATTTTTAAAATATATTTACTTATTGATTTTTATTTTCTTTTTGATGTTTATTTTTGAGAGAGAAAAAGAGACAGGGCACGAGCCTGGGGAGGGGCAGAGAGAGAGAGGGAGGGAGACACAGAATCTGAAGCAGGCTCCAGGCTCTGAGCTGTCAGCACAGAGCCTGACGTGGGACTCGAACCCATGAACGGCAACATCATGGCCTGAACCAAAATCGGATGCTTAACCGACTGAGCCACCCAGGTGTCCCTGGATTTTTAACTTTAATTAATCAGTTGAGCGACTGACTCTTGATTTCAGCTCAGTTCTTGATCTTGTGGTTTGTGAGTTCGAGCTCCACACTGGGCTCCGTGCTGACAGTGTGGAGCCTGCTTGGGATTTTCTCTCTCTCTCTCTCTCTCTCTCTCTCTCTCTCTCTCTCTCTCTCTCCCTGTCTCTCTCTCAAAATAAATAAACTTCCAAAAAAAAACCATTTAATTAATTTAAATTAAATTTTAAATAGCCACATGAGCTAGTGACTACCATGTTGGATAGTGCAGTTCTAGAATAAAGTGGCTAAAGAGAAATGATAGCTAAACACAATGTATTAAACATGGTTAGAGTCTGGATGGAAAAATTAGCTATAATGACATCTTGAGAATAGCAGGTGAATATGGATTGGTATGAGAGAATATTAGAGAGTTGTTATTAAGTTTCCTTGGTGTGCTGTTCATCATCCTTACTTTTAAAACATGCTGAAGCATTAAAGGGTAAAACGTCATGTTGTCCGTTCACTTTTCAAATGGTTCAGGGTGTGTGAGATTGGAGGAGACGAAGGAGACCTGACAACTAAATGCCATGTGCAATTCTAGGTCATTGGTGAAATCTGAATGAAGTCTGTGGTTGAGTTCATAGAAGTGTACCAATGCTAAGTTCTTAGCTTTAATGATCATATTCTCATTTTTATAAGATGTTAACATTAGGAAAAGCTGGGTGAAGGAAATATGTAATGCCCCTGTACCATTTTTGCAACTCTTCTGTAAGTCTAAATATATCTTAAAATAAAGAGTCAAAATATATCCTAAGAACTATATAGGAAGCTCGTAGGAAAAGTCCAAAATTGCCTACATTGGCTGATAATGTATCTACTCTCTGTGCCCTGGGTACCTCTTCAGCACGTGTTCTCCTGTCCTCATTACTCTCCAGTCACACAGGACTTCTCTGCCATCGCTGCAGGCCCTTTGCTCATGGTGACCCCTAACCCTTCCCAACACACACACACACACACACACACACACGCTTCTGGGGCCCATCACTTCCCTGCAGAACTTCTCACTCCCAGCCCCACGAGCCCAGATTCAGTTCCTGTGCTGTAAATCCCACGACACTCTTGACTTTCTATTTTGTTGCAAACGTTGCTGATGTCTACGCCTTCCTGTAAGCGGGCTCCATGGGTGAAGGACCACGATCATGTCACCAGGGCAGGCATACATCTCCACAGTTGAACAAGCTTAGAAAATACTTAGAAAGTTGGTAGAATCACAGTCACATGTTCATAGTTTCTGACTTATGCTCTCAATCATGCAGATACCGAGGCACCAGGATATAGTGGTTAACCAAATAGACATGGTCCCTACTAAACTAGCCGGGAGGCTGAGTCACTTAAAGAAAACTAGTTATAACTGTGAAGAATAGCGGGCCCAGAATCCCAGACAGATTTCTGTTTTCTATTTTTATTTCTTGAGGGGGAGGTCCCCAAAGTCTTTTTCTTTCCAACACTTTCCATCAAAGGCCAAGGGACCCTTTCCAGCAAAGCTTCTCTTCCCTGCCTTCCACAGGTCAGGCCTATGGCTACCCTCGGAAGCAGAACAAGAGATTCCTAGTCTGGAGTGGGCAATTTGCATTTCTGCCTGGAAGAAGCCTGATCTTCTAGGCTTTGGCTCACCCAGGAATGATCCCCTCAGGCCACCTCCTCAAACCCTCTCAGAGGAGTTTGGCTAGCTCCTTGATAGGCCGTTCAATCATTCAACAAGTTTCTTTTAAGGAACAACCATGCACCAGGTGCTCTTGTAGGAGCAGGGGATAAAGCAGTGAATGAAACAGACAACACGTCTGTCCTCAGGGAACTTAGAATCTAGACAGGGACACAGACAATGATAAGAAAAACCAGTAAAATCTGAAAGAATATTTTAGCAAGATAAGTACTGGAATAAAAATCAAAAGGCAGGGTAATGTAGAGTACACACGGATGTTGGTGGCCAGGAGTGTGGCAAGGCAGACAGTTTCAAAAGGGCAGCCAGAGAAAACCTCATTAATTTTTGAATGAAGATGTGAGGGAAGTAAGGGAACCAGCCACGCGGATGTCATTCTAAGGGGAAAAACCCACAGATGAAAATCCGTAAGTCAGCAGTGAGCCTGCCTCCTTGAAGGAAAAGCCGGGAGGCCATGTTGCTGGAGCTGAGGGCCCTAGGGGATGAGGCCGAGAGGTGACAAGCCCACCAATAGCCTTATAAGGCCCACTTATAGCCTTGTAAGTTACGATGGCTTCTTGGCAGAAGAGACGGCAACTCTCTTGAGTTAGATAAGAATTATGAAGTTCCTAGAACAACTCCTCATCAAAGGCATCTCTCATAAAAACAATGCGCTCTCCAACTTTGCTCCCCTTTGCCCCGTGACCGAACACTAAGCAGGTAATGCATTGTCCATACTTACTAGGTTCTATTGGAGTTCCACAGCCAGCACATAAAAAATTCTGGGCTGCTACCACGAGATCCCTCCTGAGTACAGAAAATGATGACGGTTACATTTCAGAAATGGCCGACGGAGCATTTCTCAACTGATTAGAAAAGAAATTGACATCATGGTAGTTGGCTTGGAGCCTTAATTTTGTCACTTTTCATCTGGAGAAAAAATAGGATTATTTGATAGAGTTTTTTATTCTAGAGTTGAGATTGGTGGGTCTTCTAAAAGCCCCAGCTACCACCAAAGCAGAAGTCAGTCTCATGAATAACTCTTCCGCAATGGGATCTTTAGAGACTTCTCGCTGTGAGGGCACAGGTTCCTTATCAGACAGAACTTAAGACACATAATGCATTGGAGAAAGTTCAGGGAGACGAAACACCAAGAAGTAATGCACTTGGGAAATTGACAAATGGATCCAAAGAAATTCAGATGAGTAAGAGGTAATAGAAGACAGAAGTATTGGACGTTTGTGGTGAGAGACAGTCTACTGGAGGGTTTTCTATTGAACTATTGATTTCACAACTTCACGTGTGATTTGGAAATATGAAGAAAGTTATAAAATTTTATTACAGTTTGGGGTCGGCAAAAAAGATCGAGGTAAAAATGTACAGAACCCTACCCATGTCCCTTAGAGAGGACATAGGGAAATGCTAGAAAGGAGTCACCCCTTGCTAAGGAAAGTGACCCCTTCCAAGTCCTGGAGAAGGAGCTCTTCTGCCCAAGCCGCCCCAGAGACCTTCCTGGCATTCTCTTAAAAGAAAACGTAACAGAGAGCCTAGAAGGCACTTCCATGGGACACGGGCAATCACCTTCACCATCCCTTCTTTACACTGTAGTTTGGGTGCCACATTAAATACAAGCCAAGAGGAATGGAAAGACTGTAACTGGTTAAAAAATGTCCCCCTGTCAGGGTGCCTGGACGCCTCAGTTGGTTAAGCGTCCGACTCTTGGCTTCAGCTCAGGTCATGATCCCACAGGTCTGTGGGTTCCAGCCCTGCATCGAGCTCCATGCTGACAGCGTGGAGCCTGCTTGGGATTCTCTCTCCCCACCTCTCTCTCTGTCCCTCTCCTGCTCACACACTCTCTCTCTCTCGCTTAAAATAAAATAAATAAACTTTATAAATAAATAAATAAATAAATACATTTGTTGTATATGGTTTTTAAGGTTCAATATTAGCTACTTAAAGAATATCCCCTTTAAACCTACTTGATTTTTAATTGCTATATAATGTACATAACTAAGGACATAGTTAAACTCTCAACTTGTCAAACTTACCCCCAAGCCCCCCAAAACCCATGATAAACAGGGTGCTAAGAAGCTAATTCAGAAAAATATGCCCAACTTTTCCTATTCCTAAAACAAAACTTCCTTTGTCCCCTGGTGTGTTATTTTTTTCCCCTTCCTCGACTTCCACGAAGAGGAAGCCATGGCTCCACGAGTGGGAGCCATCTTGGCTTGTGCTACCTGGATTGGAGGCCCAAGCAGCAACCTGGACTTACTTGAGTGGTGGGTGAACACTGAATATGATTTGAAATCTAGGGGGCGTCCAGTCTTCAGCCCCTCTGATCCTCGACTTAAGTTTAATTTCCTGAACTACATCCACGCTGGATTCAAAGTCTTTTCGGACACGCTCTTCATTCACAACCTGCACAACACAGAAGAGACTTTCAGAGCAACTTGAACAAGCACATTCTAGGAACTGAAATAGAAAGAACGTTCGCGTGTGTTTCCAGCATGAAAATTTGCCACGAAAAATTGAAACTGCTTTCAACTGAACGAAAGGAGCCCTCCCTGTATCTAAAGCCATCTGCAGACATGCTTGAAACACCACCCAGCTGAGATCACTTTTCCTCGTGTTTTCAGTAGTTCATCTGTTTCCAGACTTCAAATTACTGGAAGTAGGTCATTGCGACCTGGAATGCTTTTATGCACAGCAGAAGCCTTACCCCTCTTAGTCAAGAGGCTGAGACCAATTCCAACCAGAACCCCCAGCTGTTGTCAGACTTCCCCAGAAACAGCTCTTTTAAGACCATTTCCCTGCTTAAAAATGTCCAGTGGCTCCCCTCTGAACCACTCAAGTTTCTTACTAGCATTTAAAATTCAAACCTGTTGGGGCGCCTGGGTGTATCAGTCGGTTAAGCGTCAGACTTCGGCTCAGATCATGATCTCACAGTTCGTGAGTTCGAGCCCCGCGCTGGACTCTCCAGGCTCTCCAGCTCAGAGCCTGGAGCCCGCTTTGGATTCTGTGTCTCCCTCTCTGTCTGTCCCTCCCTGGCTTGCACGCGCACATGCACACACTCTCTCTCAAAATAAATCGATAAATTTTTAAAAAATTATTTAAAAAATAAGAAATAAAATGCAAACTGGTTAACTTAGCATTCTATGTTCCCCCCAAATTTGATCGCATCCTTCAAAACTAATTTTCCAGGAGGATCGACATCCCCGTCCCAGCACACACACAGATACACACAAACACAAGCTATCCAACCACACCAAGCCACCCTGCTCAACTAACACACCATGCACTCCCGTCACCTTTGCTCCAGCTGCGCTATACCAAGAATGCCTTTCCATGCGTTTCTACCTGCCACCCTTCTCAAGTTCTGAGCTTTCCAACTGGCCTTCCCAAGCCCCCTGATACAAGTAAACACTGCCTCTTCCTCTGCGTGCCCAGAGTGCTTTTTTTCCTCCCCCTATTTTAGCTTTGCCAGAGTTCTCTTCCCGGTGCACCGCATGCTGTCAGAGGGCAATGTGTTCCACAGGGGACCAGGCTGGCATGACTCCTGCTCTTCCAATGACCAGCCCTGTTGAGCGGCTGGAACGAACACTTTAAAATAAACATAACAGGGGCGCCTGGGTGGCGCAGTCGGTTGAGCGCCCGACTTCAGCCGGGTCACGATCTCGCGGTCCGTGAGTTCGAGCCCCGTGTCAGGCTCTGGGCTGATGGCTCAGAGCCTGGAGCCTGTTTCCGATTCTGTGTCTCCCTCTCTCTCTGCCCCTCCCCCGTTCATGCTCTGTCTCTCTCTGTCCCAAAGATAAATAAACGTTGAAAAAAAAATTTTTTTTAAAAATAAAAAAAAAAAAATAAACATAACAGGGGCGCCTGGGTGGCTCAGTCGGTTGAGCGTCCGACTTCGGCTCAGATCATGATCTCACGGTCCGTGGGTTCGAGCCCCATGTCAGGCTCTGTGCTGACAGCTCAGAGCCGGGAGCCTGCTTCAGATTCTGTGTCTCCCTCACTCTCTGCCCCTTCCCTGCTTATGCTGTCTCTCTCTGCCTCAAAAATAAATAGAACATTAAAAAAAAATAAAATAAAATAAAATAAACATAATAGCAGCATCTACCTAATAGGATACTTAGAAGGATGAAAAATGTGAAATGCTGAATCCCCCGGTGCATAATAAACACTCAATAAATGTCAGATTCATCCTTTGTTTCAAGTGTCCCGGCAACACCCGGCCACCATACAAGGAAACGCATAAATGTCTGAAGTGAACGGCAGCCAAAATGAGAATTAAGGAACTTCCAATTCAAGGCCAACTAATTTTGGTACTTACGATCGAGCCAGCTGCATTCGGAGAACCTGCCAGCTGATGATTAACTTCTGACAACACCCAGCACTTCCGGAATACTCGGTACAACTCTTTGGCTATTCGCTCAGCAGAATTGAAGTTTGGCTCATAAGTGACACTGAAAGGTACAAGATGCAAAAAGGGGAAAACTATACTCATGAGCAGTATGTTAAGCGTCTTTGTATTTTCAACTATCCTTCCCACTCCAAAAACTCAGAAGATGTGTCACGCAGGAGACCAGGCATCTATACCCGTTGGATGTCTTATTCAATGCAGTTCCTCCATGCTCAACAGAGCAGCTTTTATTTATTGAGGGTACCAAGACAAGGAAACGTGGTTAAAGAGCACTGGATTTGGAGTCCGAAGACCTGAGTTCAAGTCCTACCTCCGCTATTTAACAGCATTATGTCCTGAGGCACACTGGGTCTGAGCCTCAGTGTCCCATCTATAAAATGGGGTAAAAACTCTGCCCAGCCTGATTCAATGAGACTGTATACCAAAGTCTTTTAAACGCTATTAAATAAAAACTATAGAAAGCTCTATAGAAACTTTAGCGGTGATTGTTTCATTGCTAATTACTAATCCCTATCATTGGAACTGGCTGAACTTGGTCCAAGATGTCAGAGGCTTGGTGTTCATACTGCCTCAGAGGTAATGGCCCAGGGGTCTAGGTGCAGGGGGACACGGAAGACAGATACCTCTTAGAGGAGTTGCAGGGGCATCCACAGGTTTCTGTGATATTGTTAAACTCACCAACTTCTGCAAGCAAATAAAAGAAAGGGTATTAAAGTCTTTCGGTCTGTTTGGCTCATTCATACCCAATTTTATAAGAACACAAAAATAAATGCCTGCATCTCAGAAAGAACTCGGTATTCAGCATCTTAATACTTCAGGTTCTCTGGGTTTCTATCATGAGACTACAGCTAAGGACCAGAGATGGGATTTCAAAATATACTCACCTGGGACTCCATGAGAATATGATGGAGGGGCCAGATACCAGACCATAATGAGTATCTGCTTTTGCGTTCAATTCTACAAGTCAGATGACAGACTGGTTATCAAGACATCCAAAATAAGAAGGACATCTTATTATTTTTTTAAATCAGGGACACAGTCTGATCTTGAGAGAAGTCTCTCTGAAAGCCACTACCATGCAATGTCACCTGTGATGCATGTCAATATGTGTGTGCAGGGGAGGGGAAGTACCGAGTCTTAGCTGGTGAGTTTCCAAATCTTACCTACGACAACAAAGTCATCGAAGTCACATTTACAGGCTTCTTTGAGCACATCGCAGTAAGTGGGGGTCCCAGCCACGGGGCTGCCCTGTAACACAGCACAGCCTAGAAAAAGAAATGAAGGGAGTTTCACCAACAAGGAGAAAAGAAAAAACTGCACAACCTGTCATATTCAATGAACTAGAAACTGGGGAACAAAATGGGCCGAGAGTTTACTTTAAAAGAGTTTAAAAATCCAGCTTTAAGAATTAAAAAATGCAGGGGTGCCTGGGTGGCTCAGCTGGTGAAGCATCTGACTTCACCTCAGGTCATGACCTTGCAGTTCATGAGTTCGAGCCCCGCGTCGGGATCTGTGCTGACAGCTCGGAGCCTGGAGCCTGCTTTGGATTCTATGTCTCCCTCTCTGCCTCTGCTCCTCCCCTGCTTGTGCTCTCTCTCTCTCTCTCTCTCAAAAATGAATAAACATTAAAAAAAAGAATTAAAAAATGCAGAGAGCTATTTTTGTGTTGTTCTTGCATTCACTGTGACTCAGGAAAGCAGACTGATGAGTATATATGATGAGGGGGTCCCTAAGAGTAAGCTGCCTACTTTTATGTGTGTTTGAAATTTTCCATAATACACAATTTTTAAAAAAAATGAAAGAGGGCAAAAATCAGCTTCAGGGTGATGCAAAGAGCATAAGCGACGTAAATGTTGTGCTGGGTAGAAGAGTGTCCCCCCAAAATACATATCCACCCAGTGAATGTGACCTTATTTGGAATCAGGGTCTTTGCGGATGTGATCAAGTTAAGGGGAGGTCCTACCGGATTAGGGTGAGCTCTAAATCCAATGTGACTGGTATTAACATAATGAGGGAAATTTGCATCCAGACATTGCTAAACCAGGAGAAGGCCCAGTGGAGGCAGAGACTGGAGTGATGTGTCTCATACATAAACCAAAGACAGGCTAGGAGCACCAGTAACCACCGGAGGCTGGAAGAGGCAAGGAACGGGTTCTCCACAAGGAACCTCCACAAGGAACCAAGCCTTTCAACAACTTCATTGCTGACTTCTGGCCTCCAAAACCGTGAGATGATACATCTTCCGTTGTTTTAAGCTCCCCGTGCTTTTTGTGGTATTTTGTTAAAGCAACTATAGGAAACTACTACAAATATGTCCATGCTTTTCTTTCCCAAATGCTAGTGTGGGATATTATCCTTAGAGTGTCATTGAAAAGCAAAAAAAAAAAAAAAAAAAAAATGGGGGGCACCTGGGTGGCTCAGTCGGTTAAGCATCCGACTTTGGCTCAGGTCATGATCTCATGGTTTCTGAGTTCGAGCCCCATGTCAGGCTCTGCGCTGACAAATTGGGAGCCTGGAGCCTGCTTCGGATTCTGTGTCTCCCTCTCTCTCTGCCCCTCCCCCGCTCGAGCTCTATCTTTCCCTCTCTCTCTCAAAAATAAACATTAAAAAATTTTTTTAGGTGAAAAATGCAGACTTTGATCATAAAGGCGCTATTTGCAGTCCATTTAAGATATTAAAATATTGAAGGCTACCTAAATGACAAATATTAGTGCACTGATTTCACAAATTATGTTATTGACTCAAGAAATAGCATCCTGGAAAAATATGAAAACTATAACAACATGGAAAGCTGTATATGAAATACTGTTCATGCAATCATATTATGAATACAATTACATTAATAGGAGTATATAATCACTACAAAACTGTACTCACTTGAATAAATGTGAGAGAAATACACAGAGAAATGTTTGGGTTTCTATTGCTTAGGGAAAAATTCTAGCCCTCAGGTTACACAGAGGTTATGTGCGTGGGCTTTGCAGTGAACTGGCCAGGGTTTAAAACCACACTGTCCAATCCTAGCTATGTGACTATGGATAATCAACTTCTCGGCTTTGATTTCCTTCTGGGCAAAATAGGGGCAACTTCCCCTAGCTCTCCGTGCTTCCTGGCACCCTTTTGACCATGATCCACAGTAACATACATTCACACTTGGTACAAACACAAAAATCTATACCACTGATACAAAATAATAATAATAAAAGTTCCAGGAAGCATTGCTCACTCTAGGTGAGGGGAACGCGGATACTTTCTATTCTTTGGTTTGTGTTTAAATGCTCTCAAGACCCACCTGTTAACTTGAAGAATACTGACCTACCTCAACGGAGTAGCATCTCTCACCATAAATGTCACAGGAGAGACACTTAATAAAGGATGCGTATTTTTATCGGGGTGGTAGAAACGTTTTACGGTTTCATTTCACATATTTACATTCACATTAAAAAAAACTGAGCTAGACACGAGCTTCCACTCAACCATTCAACAAATATTTATAAAATACCGATTTTGAGGAAGGCGCCAAGCTGAAGGCAAATTCAAATAAGACAAATACTTACCCAACAATGAGATTAAAACCTCATAAGGAGCTGAGACACAGACACACATAACTCTAAGAAAACACAAGAAGGCGGGGCTCCACACCGTGCAACTCCGGGAGGGACTGAGGCACGCACGTGGACAATTGTAGAAAGTTCTGGAGCACAATTTATGCTTAACTCTGTATGAATGGTGCCCCTGCCCCGTGATGCAAATCTGGGAGCCTGTCACAGTGCTGGCGGCAGGAGACTGCTTTCAAAGGAGGGGAGGGATAAAAGGACTAACGGGAAGTTCCTGGGGAACCAGCATTCCAGGGGAGCCTAGACCAAGCTAAGGGAGGAAGGCAAGAGCTTGGGAGACATGTCCACTGTCAACTTTGACAGGCCAGGATTACTGAAGCCCGTGGGAAATGGCGGGAGATGCCTGCTGGAAAGGCACGGAGAAGCTGCATCCCACGAGGCTAAAAAGTCCAGGATAAAATGTGACACAAGGTCAGCAGGCCATCTTAGAGGAGCACAAGTCGTCCTAGGAAGCCAGATGTGTGCAGGATTCGAGGAAAGGAAAGAGGCTGTGAGTAAAGAGACAATCAAAGGCAGCAAATGTGCCCTGAGCACCTAACGGCACTTCTCATCGAATGACTGGCCAGCAGTGGCTGAGGTGGTCCAGGTCAAAGGCAGGAATAGGGAACGACTGGAGGGGATGTCACGATTACCGAAAAGTCATTGCTGATCTGTTCACTAGAAGCAGGGCAGGGACACAGGCACAAAGAAGAAGAAAGAGTCAAAGATAAAGTACAAGAGTTACTGACACAGGAATCGTTTCTTTTCTCCCCAGGAGTGGCCTCAGTGGGGATGATGGTCCAAATCACATTCCCTCGCTCCCCTGGCCACGGCCGGCTGACCAGTTGGGGGCGCCCAATCAGAGCCCGCCCCCGCACGCGCCCTTCCCTGCGAACGTGGACCTGGGGTCCTTGCAAGACCAGGTTGAGCTGTGAGGTCCCAGCCGGCAGTCAGGAAGACCACAGAGCTGCAGAGCAGAAACCAGATACTGCACGAGGAGGAGAAGTCAGGCTGCAGGAAAGGAGAACAAATTGCACAACGTGATAAGAGACCACGGGGCCCCAGAAAGGCCAGATCCTCCACACTGGTCATTCTGTGGTTCCCACCACTGGGTTCACTGAGGATGCTCTGTATCCTCAATTTGAGCCAGGTAGTGCATTCAACAGCCGTTGATGGTACATAGGTTTTGTGCCAGGCATTGTGCTACACGGTATTGCCTGGAGTGAGTTCTCCCCTCATTACGGTAAGGCTCCTGATTAAGACGCTCAAGTCAAGGAAATCAAGACGAAGGGCATCTTTTTTTTTTTTTTTTAAAGGAAGGGAGTTGTGAGGAGTAGATAACTAGTGTAGACACGTTAAGTTAGTTTAGTTACCTGCCAACCAGCTAAACAGGTCCCCGCAGATTGGAACAAACCTTGTCCGAGAGGGACGGGAGGGGAAACCCAGATTTGGGAGATATCAGGGGAGAATCATGGAAAGATAGCGCAGTAGACAACATCTCCCAGGACGTGAATATAGAGAAAGAATCTAGGACTGAAGCAGGACTCCCATTTAGGAAGTGGTAGGAAAATGACACGCCCTAACTTCAGTTCTCAGCTGAGGTACCCTCCTCTCCAGGAAGGATTCCCTGGTTGCCACAGCAAGGGCCACTCCTCCTGCTCTGGGGCCCGCTGCATGGCGCCCCTGCCTCCGCTACCAGGCTGACCCCACACAACAGTCCTCCGGTGTCTATCCAGCTCCCGCAGGGATGTTCCTTGCGGGAAGTAATAATGTATCTTGTTGCCTGTTGATTCCCGGCATCCAGGACCTCAGAGTCCTGGTTTGTGGAATGAATGAAAAGAGGTCTACTTGGAAAAAAGAAGCAATGGGTGAGAAGAGCTGGCGGAAGGCCACGTGGCAGAAACCAGGGAAAGCGGGAAGCCAGCAGCCACTGCCAAACACAAAGTAGGATGGAGTCCAAATCAGAACAACGCATCGATGTAACGACAGAGGGGAGCAGGATAATGGATGCCGAGCCCAAACGGCAGAGATGGTGAGGATGATGGTTATTCAGGACGTTTTAGACAAAAGACTTGAAGACATACTTCGGGGTGTGACAGGAAAAGAGATGTACGTCGAGAACACAGCGCAAAGTCTCTCTGATTTGCCCCACTTGCCTTCATAGCCACTGTCAGAAGAATCGGAAGACCCAGATTCCTGCTTTATGCTCGTATAAAAGGCCATTTCGGGGTCCGCCTGATCATTCCCGAGCGACGCACTGGCTTCTTCTACGCTCCAGTTCTGTGTGTGCTGTTGACCGAGGATGGTACACTTTATTTCCTCCATGGCTGCTATCATCATATCCGCTACGTAAAAGTGGGCATTTTCCTGCAGAAAAATAATTATCAGTTAAACTGCAAGCATAACCAACTGTTCTTTATTGAGGGTGTATTAAATTGAAAATCAAGACGCCGTATTTAAGCAGAGTTAACGTATAGGAATATAAATGTTCATTCAAGGGGCACCTGGGTGGCTCAATCGGTTGAGCGTCCGACTTGGGCTCAGGTCATGATCTCACGGTCCTTCAGTTCAGGCCCCGTGTCGGGCTCTGTGCTGACAGCTCAGAGCCTGGAGCCTGCTTCGGAGTCTGTGTCTCTCTCTCTTTGCCCCTCCCTAGCTCACACCCTGTCTCTCTCTCTCTCTCTCTCTTAAAAATGAATAAACATTAAAAAAAATTAAGATGTTCATTTAACTGAGTTATCACATAAGGTACAGCCCATATCTTCCAGACACATCAAATTTAGCCCACTGAGACCCAAATCAAGCTAAGTTGAATTTACTGTGATATACACCCCACACGGTGCATGGCCCAATGGTAGACCCATGCATCAATCATGGAAAACTTCCCAGCTGGGCACAGGGGCTGCCTCAGAGCCCTCCTTAGCGCCTGGTGGCCTGTGCTAGCCAAAGGCTGAAACGAAACCTATTTGCCACCCTTCATCAAGTGAAGTTTCCAGATTTAAATCAGAACAACACTATCTAAGGGATTTACACTCTGTGAGTGTGTGTGTGTGTGTGTGTGTGTGTGTGTGTGTGTGTGTGTGTGTGTTTTAAAGAAAAAAAAAATGTGTTCACCTTTTCTACATCGACAGGGAGCAAGAATGCTTCTGGGGAGAAGGAATTCAAAGAAGTGGTTCTTCTCCCGACTGGAACAGCACCTGCCAAGGCAGCAAGTTATTAAAAATGGAGAAAAAGACGTTCAAGGAAAACAAAACAATTCTAGGCAGTGGCCTTTAAAACCTGTTTTTTTAAACATTAACGGGGGGCGCCTGGGTGGCGCAGTCGGTTAAGCGTCCGACTTCAGCCAGGTCACGATCTCGCGGTCCGTGAGTTCGAGCCCCGCGTCAGGCTCTGGGCTGATGGCTCAGAGCCTGGAGCCTGTTTCCGATTCTGTGTCTTCCTCTCTCTCTGCCTCTCCCCCGCTCACACTCTGTCTCTCTGTCTCTCAAAAATAAATAAACATTAAAAAAAATTAAAAAAAAAAACATTAACGGAATTCTAGAATACATTAGGGGGCCAGAAGAAGACAGATCCTCCCGGTGGTAGGCTTTGCAGACATTGCCTTTATGGTGATCGTTTCTACAGGAGCCCATTGGAGCAAACCGGGAGGGATCCTCAGAGGAGGGACGGGAGAACCACTGGAATGGAGGAGACCAGTGAGGAGGAGAGGGTAGAAAGAGGAGGGGATCATGGAAACTACCTAAAAGAGATGGAGAAGGGCCACAAGGAACAGTCTAGAAGCAGGGTCCTAAGAATTATACGATCACTTCTCCCATGCGCTGCAACTGACCCCAAACGTTTTGTTTAGAGAGATAATCTGTTTGGAAAGGCCAGCATTGCTTCTCTAAAATGGTCTTCCTCCAGGCCAATAACAAGAAGAAACCACAGAGGGTATATTCCGCTGATTCATCCATTCTGCACCCTGAAGCCACTCCATTACCGGCAGGAACACCATCAGAACAAAATGATTCCTGTCATGTGATTTCTTTCTGGAGCATTTAAGGCAAAGTCTTTCTGTGAGAGCCTCAAGAGCTCGGTTATCCCAACCTGCTAAATTAGAACAAAATATTATAGACGTCTTGATGATCAGACAGCTCTCGGGGGGACAGACAGAGATGCCCGCAATCACCCAATCCCCTGTCTCTTCTCCAAGAAAGGGACTGGTCCACGAAGGACGCTGAATCTCTTAGCTTCAGGATCCACCTGGGGTGGGTGAGCATTGTCTGCAAAGGACCAGGGAGTGAATATCGCAGGATCTGAGGGCCACCTGTTGCACTATGTCGTTTTGCTACTGGAGTGAGGAAGCAGCCATCAGCAACATCATCAAAACTTTATTTGTAAAACCAGGAGGCCAGCTGGATCTGGCCTGCGGGACATAGTGTTACGACCCCGAGTATAGAAGAAAAAGGACAGAGAAGAATCAAACAGTGCGGATTCCAGTTCCAGTTCTGTCTCTACCAGCTGGCTGTGCCTCTGCCTTGAAATGTCCTCATGCCTTAAACTGGATAATTACCTCTTAGGAGATTAAAGCAGATAAGGCATGTGAATGTGCTCTATAAATGTGCAAATCCTACGCAAAGAAAAAAGGAACTGTGGGATTGTTTCTTCCAGCCTCAAGAAATTCTTATAGGCTGGGGTTGGGGAGGGCCTTTCTCTACCACATTATCTAGAAAAGGAAAAGTGTGCTGCTATCATTCGTGATGCAGCAGTCATAGGAAAACTCTTGTGTCTTAGTAGTAAATGCCTGTTCTCTGCAATGCTGTCCCACAGCAAAGAAAGACCAGATCTCTCAGGACTTCCTTTTTTTTTTTTTTACTCCCATGGGATGAATCCCCCTACCAAGGTGAAGATGGTTTTTAAAGGTACTTAGAGAAATTGCTGAGGGCTATTGTCTGTGGACAAAGGGGCCAGGGTGCCTGTTTTCTTTATGGGAGAAAGACAAACTCCAGGATAACTTTAAATTGCGGAACCAATTCCGGTAGAACGTGTCATTTTGCTCAAATCTGGTTCTTCTTTCAAAATGACCCTATTTTAAAGACCGTCCAAAATCTGCTGTTCTTAAGCGATGAATAATATGTTAAAAGACTGTCATCATCTTCAGCTTTTCAAAAGTGTTTCCAGTACAACAAAGAAACCCCGTATTTTAGGAAAGGTGGAGGGGTGGTTCTTGCTAGTGAGAAATAAATAAATGGCTACATACAGACACACACACAGGCAGGCCAGCAGTGTTCAGACTGCTAGGAAAGAAAGAAACTTCATTGACTCTTTGAACTAGGGCTCTAACAAGAATATAAATTAACACAAATACAACACGACGAATATATTTTTAAAATTTTAGATTGCCATTGGGGGGCCTGGGTGGCTCAGTTGGTTAAGCATCCCACTTTGACACAGGTTATGATCTCAAAGTCCATGAGTTGGAGGCCCACGTCGGTCTCTGTGCTGACAGGTCAGAGCCTGGAGCCTGCTTCAGATTCTGTGTCTCTCTCTCTCTGCCCCTCCCCCACTCATTCTCTCTCTCTCTCTCTCTCTCTCTCTCTCTCTCTCAAAAATAAACATTAAAAAAAAAACAGAATGCCACAAATTGTAACAACAATAAGAGAAGTTACTGACTCTTGAGTGGCATTTGCATGCATTATCTTATTTTAGGAATATGTGCATTACTTCATAGCAATGGAAGCCCTTGTTGTAGTTAAAAAAAAAAAAAAAAAGGTTTTGTATAGTCTTTGGGGAAATTGCGATTAGTGTTTTTAAACCTGACTAGTTTCTAGTCACACCCTGTCCAGGTAAGTGTAGGTGAGGTGAGTTCATCTCCTACGAAAGCACTAGTGTGAAATGGAGCCCAGTCTGTCTGGAAACACATTCTCCCACCACACTGGATTGAGAGCACTTCTAATACTCTCCCTTGCCAGCAACTTCATGAGCTGGACGCTCCCAAAGGCACACACCATTCAAAGATGGCAGCTGGCATGGATTACCACTTGAGCTGAGCAAAGATGACATCTTGCTATGGAAGGAGAGTGGAAATATTTGTTTTTACCCTTTGTGACCATCCAGGCATCCAGGTAGCTGGGCTGAAGAATATTAAATGAGCTAATGCACTGGCCTCCAATCAGAGTGGAAAGCCAGGACTTTTGTCCTCATGAGAAAGATGGTAAGACAGGCTTTAGGCCAAGGCAAAGCCTGCGTGTGAACAGACAAGAATGAGGCAAGTCCCGACTGAAATTACCTTCATCAGCGGAAGCTGTCAGATGGGAAGGCTTCAAAAAAGCGCTGTCAGCTTCCGGACACGAGGAGGCAGCCTTGGAGCTTGTGAACACAGACATCTGAGGAGACTTTCCTGGGAGCACTGCCTGCTCTCCCTTGGAGGTAAAAGAGACGTCGCTGTTCTTGTCACCTGAGCCCCAGGCAGAGTCTGCAGTATCCTTGGACAGTGATGTCTCCACCATGGAGTCCCCAAGGGACGACGGTGAAGGGCCCAGGGAACAGGCGGTATCCCTTCCAAAGTGGTTCCCACCGTTCCCCGCTGTCGGCACCTGAGGGGGCAAATCCTGTAGCTGCTGCTGCGCACACTGGGGGTTAATCCAGGCAGCTCTGTGCCTCATGAACCTGACGTCTGATTTGCAAGGAGGCTGGTCAGTGTCCAGGAGATTGGGCGAATCCTCAACGTCACCAGGGTCACTGCTGACCCCTTCCCAAGGGTGCACAGGAGAATCCTGCCGGCCCATAGACTGTGACACCATCTTTCCAGGCTCAGGGTGGCGTGAACTCCGTTGGACTACTGGATTAGGGCCTTGAACTCACCATGAGGCCAGCTGAGGTCCAGAGAGCTTACCTGCAACGAGCAAAAATCATTCGAGGTAAATAAGAACTCAGTCCTAGTTGTAAACTCCAAAATCTTTTGAGGAGAAGAAACAAAAAATAAGTTTGTACTTCACTCTGTACCATACAGTAAATTCCACTTGGATTGACAAGAAATAAACAAACAAATCAGCAATAAAACTGGCCGCAAACACACGAGGCGTGACATCAGGATAGGAAAGGGTTTTCAGGGCATAAACGAGGACTGCTTTTATACAAGGACACAGTCATATAAGCAAACTGCTGATACGACAGATAAAAGTGAAAGACAGCCGTGCGTTCTTCCAACGAAATTCAATGTCAAACCCGAAATGGGAATACCATTGGAAGTAAAGACACATTTTCACGGTTCCTTATTTTTGTTTAGTCTGTGCTTGTATTTCAACAAGGCAGACAAGCGGCATGTGAAACTGAGGGCAACTCACAGCACTAAAAACTTTGCTTTATGGGACTTAGTTTATGATAAGAGAGAAGCACCCCGGTCCCCGTAGTCACTGGCCCAGCCCGCGACTTTCTACTGCTCCCACTGTCCTTCACACTGGGAGGCTCCAAGCAGCCCTGGAAGCACAAGCAAGGTCAGCAAGAGGAAGAAATGAAAGTGGTCTGCTTCGGTGAGCTTAGCGTAAGGGGAGAGTGGAGAACAGGGCTACAAGGTGGTGAGCTGAGGCTTGGGAGTCAGTTGCAAGGCTGGCTTGCTTTAGTTATTATTTATTGAGAGAGAGAGACAGAGAGACAGAGAGACAGGGTATAAGTGAGAGCGGGCCCGAGAGAGAGGGAGAGAGAAAGGGAGAGAGAGAGAAGCAGGGCTCATGCTCACCAGATGCAGGACTTGAACTCACAAACCATGAGATCATGACCTGAGCCAAAATCAGATGCTTAACTGACTGAGCCACCCCGGCACCCCAGTTCCAGGGCTTTAAATACCACCGTTATGTATCCAGATGGCCTGCACCTGGATCCCTACTCCTGGCCCCCCCCCCCCCCCGCCCCGCCAAACTATGGGCTACGATATTTTACTGCCTATTTGACATTCATCCAGGGGGCACCACAACCTGACACATCCAAAACAGACCCTGATTTCGCCCAAGTCTGCTCCTCCCTAGTTTTCCCATCTCAGGAACCACACCTCCCAGGTGCTAAAGCCCCAACTCTGGAGGTCCTCTCTGATCCTATCTTTCCTTAGCTCTCCATCTTTTTTTTTTTTTTTGATAAAGTTTTTTTTTTTTTTTTCAACGTTTATTTATTTTTGGGACAGAGAGAGACAGAGCATGAACGGGAGAGGGTCAGAGAGAGGGAGACACAGAATCTGAAACAGGCTCCAGGCTCCGAGCCATCAGCCCAGAGCCTGACGCGGGGCTCGAACTCACGGAGCGCGAGATCGTGACCTGGCTGAAGTCGGACGCTTAACCGACTGCGCCACCCAGGCGCCCCTAGCTCTCCATCTTTAATCCATTAGCAAGTTCAGCTCTATAGCTACTGCCCTAATCTAAGTCACCATCTTCTCCCACCCGGGCCTCCTCCCATCTTTCCAGTGGGTTTTGCTGCTTCAACTCTGGCCAACTTACAATCAAGAGGTACGCAGAGAGAGATCTTTTTAAGTGTAAGTCACGGGGCACCTGGGTGGCTCGGTCGGTAGCTTCAGCTCAGGTTATGATCTCGTAGTTTATGAGTTCGAGCCCCACACGGAGCTCGCTGCTGTAAGCCTGTCAATGCCGAGGTTGCTTTGGATCCTCTGTCCCCCTCTCTCCGCCCCTCCCTGGCTTCTGCGCTCCCAAAAATAAAATAAATATTTTAAAAAATAGGCGTAAATCAGATGTCATTCCCCTAATCACCATCCACCCCGCCCCCACCAGCTTCCCATCAACTCTGAAAATAAAATCCAAAATCCTTACCTTGTCCTTAAGGCATGACATGATCCCATCCTGCAGACCTCTCTCACTTATCTCTGTCCACCCTCCCTAAGTCCCAACCACTCACTAAACTCTTAGTGCTACAAGCTCTCGCCCACCCTACTGCTGCTGTTCTAGTCCCTCTGCCTAGAACGTTCTTCCCCCAACTGATCATACATCTGGCTCCTTCCTGCCCTGCTGCATGCTTTGGTTTATCAATTACTTCCTCAAAGAAGTCTTTCTTAACCACCTCTCTGAAAGTAGTTCCCCAGTTACTCTCTATCACATCACCTTGCTTAATTTTCATCCTAGTAGTCTCACTTCCTCATTTTTTTTTCCACTCCTGTCACTCCCCCCCCCCCCACAGTCCCCCCCTGCCGATAAGCTCCACAAGAACATGGGGCCTTGTCTGTTCTCTGCCAGGTCCGATGGTTGCACGCGGGACCTCAATAAACTTATGGGCTGAAAGAGCAAATTCAACGGTGGAAATAACATCGTGAGCTAGAGAGAAGACTTCCGTGGCAGATACAACTGCTCTGTTACTGTGACAGAATTGTTTGTACAAGGATAGAAGTGAATCCATGTTTCCTGAAGATATGACATTTTTCTCAACATCTACAAATAGACCAAAAGAAGGTACATGTGAAAACTGTACTAAATTCCTTGGGTTTTCTTGATGTGGGGGCCCTCCATCCTAGGTCAAACCTTTTGAAATAATGTATATATACATGCATATATATACGTATGTGTGCGTGTGTGTATATGGTATACATATAATACTGCACAATACTGTGTGAGCTCCAAATCACTGCTCACAAAATACCATGGGAGGTGGTGGCAATTGTCAGAATTCATCTGAAGTGCTTCGTCTTCCCTCTCCAGACCTCAAATCTCACCTGGTGCCCCAATTTCTCTTTGTCACACGTCTTTTCCCCTCCAATAATTCCGAGTATCACAATTACAAATGGGAACCATGACTGTGTTTTTATGAAACGGCAAAAACACAGAAGCCTAGAGTGGATGAAGCACTCACATTGTGCCAAACCTGCCAATCCTACCTCAGTCCCAGAAATGACATCGGTAACCACTTCATCCCTTCCAGACTTTTCCCTATGAATTAACACACATATGGCAGATCAGAAGATGTGTTTTCTTTTCTCTTTTATACGTACACATGAGCTCACACTGGACAAAATCTATAATGAAACTTCTTTTTCTCTCAACAAGTTCTTGAGGGTGTATATCACTCAACTATCTTACCACTTTCTATAGTATAAAAGGATCATAATTTACTTCGCCAGACTATGGACGGGAACGTATTTTTAGTTTTTGGCAGTTATAAAATATATAGCGATGAGCAATTTTGTTCATGTTGCTTTTTATTAGTTTTCTTTCGCTAAACTTTTAGTTCTGAGTCCATAGCTCATGATAACGTCATTGTTTCCAAGAGAATGAAGCTGTATGAGTCATATTCTATGATCAATTCTTTACATGTCATAGCTGTTCTTGTGGGGGGGAAGATGATTATAGATGTGAAATCACATAAAAAAATGTACAGCCTCAAACCAATGACAAGTGGCAGGGATCCCTGTGTATTTTACAAACAGATTAAAGACAACGGTTCACAAAGAATGATGTTCTTTATGAGCCTCCCAGATACGGAATTGACTTAGCGGCACTGAGCAAAAACAGACTTCCTTTTCAAAAGTGATTTCCAGAAGCGGTGCTTGCTCCACTTCCTTCTAGAAAGGTGTTCTTGTTTCACACAAACAACCAGCAGGTGTTGGCTTTTCCAGGTTATAAAACGAGCACATTTTAGAGCTGGGATAGGCCCATAGAGATTCAAAGCCATGTCTAAAGACACGGCAGAGAGAGGATGACAAGCCAGGTTGGACGGTCACCCGGGAGCATGAGCCTCTCTGAGAGGGAGACTGACACAGGAGAGAGCCATGGTTAGAAACAAAGCACTGGCCCTAGCCCTGGGGGTCCACATCGCCATTGCCTGATCTTTGGGGCAACAGATAATTCATGAAATACCATCATAGGGTGTTTTGGCTCACTGTCACCTTGCTTGTCGTCTGGTAATCAATTAAATATTTATTGAGCAGCTACTACATGACTGGCACTGTTTTTGTTTTGGAGGCACTGGAGCAAAAGAAGTCCATGCTTCTTCCAATAGCTTACATTCCGGCAGAGGGAAGACAGTGACTGAACCTATACATTCATACATTTCAGTGCCGACGGCCGGCAGGTAGTATGGGTTTAAGCAGTGGTTGACATCTTCCCCAAATGCGACCCGTTGTGATAAATGACGTCCTTTGAATTAGCAAGGCTTAGGTACAAAGCTAAAATCTATTTCCAAAAACACTTAAAAAAATTTTTTAATGTTTATTTTTTTTAAGAGAGAGAGAGAGAGAGAGAGAGAGAGAGAGGCAGAATGAGAGCAGGGAAGGTACAGAGAGAGACACACACACAGGATCCAAAGCAGGCTCCAGGCTCCGAGCGGTCAGCATAGAGCCCGACATGGGGCTCGAACTCACGAACTGAGAGATCATGACCTGAGCCGAAGTCAGACGCTTAGCCGACTGAGCCACCCAGGCCCCCTTCCCAAAATGTTGTAAAGGAAGATTACGAAGCTTACCATCATTTCTACTGTGATTTTCCTGTTGAGGGTGAGCACAGGCCAGATTACCACTAGTTAACATATATGCGGCAGCAAAGGTCCTAGACAAAAGAGAGATTCCTGGACTCCCCCTGGCAAGTCATTCTAGATGGGTCTCTGCCCATCAAAGTCAGTGGTTCCATCACGAACGACTGCATAATGAGGACAAGCTCAGAGCCACAATACTCACTGCAGAGATGCAGCTTTTGCCAAAGGGATGGACGACTCGGTTGGGCATGAGCCACCGTGACCTCTACAGTGACCTCATAAACATCTTTCAGACCATAAGCAGCCAGAATTTTGATGCAGATGAGCAGTTTTCGCTCCCAATACCCCTAACAATCTTAGAGTGACTCCATGAATAGACACAAGCATGTCAGATTTCGGATTTAGGATTTTCTCTGCCCCAGCACTACCAACTGTATACATGATTAGGAGCACTGAAGAC